CGAAATGGCAAGATAAAAGTGAAGAAAATAATACTAAGAATCTTGAAGATTAGGAATATTGTCAATACATTTTTTTTAAATGAACAATAAGTAATCAAAGGCTTTTGAGGACAGTGGTAATTCACTGCTTAGAACTAAGATATAATCAGTGTAATATGAATTATTTGAAGGTGTGGAAGATTAGTGTCATTTTTTTCATGGTGGGTTGTTGGGGCTTTTTTTTTGTTTGTTTTTGGGGGTTTAGGTTTTTTGGAGGAGGATTTCTTGTTTGAGTTTTGGGGGGGGGAGGTTCAGAAAGTCAGGTTTCCTTTTAAAACAATAGCAACTCGCCCTGCAATGTCAACTCTTCCATCATTACGCAGTGAAATCTTCAACTCTCCTCCACGGCGGGAACATTGAAAAGCTAAATGGAAACAAGAATCCATGGTTAAAAAACTAGTATCTATCACAAATTATTTAAAAATCCAGAAACACTCATGGAAATGAGGCATCTGTCTCCAGAAACCAAGCAGCACTAGGGCAAGAACTGTTCTAGGAAACCATGGATGGACTGTCTTTATGGATGAAGATTAGCTGAGCGTCTATCTCAACTACAACTTGTTTATCAAGTCTGACAAAAATGCTAGTTAATACAACTAGCAAAGGATGCTTTGCTCTGATGTAGCCAAAGTTTCCTTTGTATATCTAAAGAAACCTTTAGACCTACTATAAAGATTTTGAGAATTCTCCCATTTATAGGACAGACAGTTTCTGTAGGTAAGAAGAAAGAACACTGAGTATTATCTGCATAAGAATGAAGAATCACTTTACTAGTGCTGAACATCTGAAAGTAGATACTAGGTTCAAAGGATGCATTTGGCTAACAGGTAAATAAAGTTCAAGCAGGCAGTGGGAAACGTCTACAAAGAAACAAATGCTGCTTCAGTTTCACAAACTAAGACCAAATTCTTACACAGACAAGAACACCTACTGATTTATATAATCCCGAATATAAGAATTAATGCAGCTGGATAAAGTTTAAGTAGAAAAAGCCTTCCACTTGTAAATAAGTACAGAACTAAACTTTTGCCTGAACTGTTAAGTCATATAACAGGTAGGACAATAATGCTCACTTAGCAAGTTGAGTCTATAGACTCATTTCAGTAGTCCAATTTTAGTTGCATAACTACTTGATCAGAAAATTATCTTGTTCAAATGGCATTAAGCAAAGGCTTGAGCTTTTGTAAAAGACTGTAAATTGATGAAGAGGCAGGAACGTCTGCAGTCTCCTTACTCAATGGCCTTTTAACAACTACAAAATTGTTCAAAGCTAGCGGGGAGGTTTTTCCCCCACAAACCCCCAATTTGTAAATTAGGTAGTGATTGTATTTAGATTCCAACAGAGCACAGGATCTCACCATTTAACAAATGGTGTATATATACTGTAAGCTTTAAAACAGTTTCTCAGCCACAGCTGACATGAATGCTCTTCCTTTTAACAGAATATTAGATTTCTAGACAAAGCAAACACTCCAAAAAGGTGGGAACAGACTGAAATAGATACTATATTTTCCATTTATAGAACCACTGGTTATTGTTTTTAACTTGTCAGCACATCTAGGTATGGATTAATGCCTTCAACCCAGTATTTTGAACTCTTACAAAGATCCAGACCACGCTAAATTTTACCAGCTGCCAAGTGTGGATACACAGCTAAACTCTCCCTCATAATGGCAGATGTAAATAAGAGATCAATTATTTTAAATCTTCAGGAGTTCATTGCTTGGTTTTGGGGTTTTTTTTTCTTTCTTTAAATGTGGAGCCAGTGCTGCCTGTTTCTTGGCAATAAAAAAAAAGTTAAAAAAATAACTCAGAAAAGCTTATATGAAAATTATATTTGACCTATTCTTTCACAAAGAAATACTGATATGTCACCCTATGTCTGGAAGTAAATAGAAATGTTACACTTGTGTACAAATGTGACGTGGTTAATCTATATGCTGAGATTACCTGGGAAAGAGAAAAGACATGATTACAACTCTGCAAAACTTCAAGAGAATTCAAACTAGCAATAATTTAAATGCAGGTACATTTACTAAAGCAGCTTCCTCGCATATTAAAAAAAATAAAAGGTGAGGAGATTGAAAAGTTATAAGATAAGACAGACTGTGTTGATTAAAAATTTTCCTGCATAAAGTCCCTTCACAATAACCTGGAAAATCCTCCATAATCTGCTTGGTTCTATTAAATTCCTTATGCATCTTTATAAATGTTATCTTGGAAATGTGAAAACTATGGGAAGGGCTGGATGCAGAGGCAGTTGCTAAATATTACATTCATTAGCAATTATGAAAGTCTATACATCTAATATGACAGATTATTTTTCTTTTAAATATTGCACTCTTCCCATGAAAGAAGACAAGGATTGATACCAAGCTTTGATTTCACACTCAGCTTAAATTCAAGGACAAGTACATCGTTTCAACAAAGAGCATAAAGTATTTCACCTTGTAAAAAGACTGGAAAATTCTTTGTTGTTGATGGGGCTAGATGTTGTTTGAAAATTTGGTCTAATAAAAGTAGGAAAAGAACTCAAACACAGGAAATTATGTCTGATGCTTCAGTGGAGATGCAACTGACCTCCTCCTAGAGGTCACAATACCCAGAGAGATGTGACAATAGCATTGCTTGTTTTTATATTATTTCATTATTTATCATTTCATATGGGATCTATCTTGGAACTAACAAAGCTTTCATTTTATGGAAAAAAATGTTCCTTTATTCTTGCAATAAAACATATCTGATATTACAGAAGCTACCAGAGAGGTTTCTAAAAAGTCAAAAGATACTCTTATTAATCTTTGGTGATATGGAAACTTCTGGATTGGCAGCCATCTTTTCCAAATAATCTCATTAGTAATAGAATTCACCCCACTACCACGATACTCCTCAGTCACATGCACATAAAGAAAAGTTATTTCTCACAAACACACATAGAGACCACATGTTGATCAGATGTCTCATTCTCTTTAAATCTGTTTTTTATGATGTCTACCACAAAAGTTGTTTGACGACATAAATGCATGGGGGGCGGGGGGGAGGAAATGAGAAGATAGGAAAAAAACGGGAAGATAGGACATTTTTTTCACTAACACATCAGAGAAGCTGATTACAGTACCACCTGCCTTTCTGCTTGAGATAGTTTCTCTGAGATAGCAAATGCCACAGAATACACGAAAATGAAAAAAAAAAATACACATACAAAATACATGAAAATGAAAAACAGGTAGAAAGTGTAATTTAAAAATACAGACAGAATTCCTGTCTGATTACTTAAAGATGCAGTGTCTGTAAGATGGCATGGAAGAGTTTCAAAATCCATATTAACATCTGAAAATGTCAGAAACTTCTAAGAAACAGTCCATAAGGATGCATTACAAAAGACAGTTTCTTCTCTTCAGAGAATATGTTGAGATCTCTATCCTCCCCTCACCCCAACCCCCAAGTTATGGTAAGTATCACAGATTTCATAAAGTCATAAAATGGTATGGGTTGGAAGGGACCTTAAAGATCATCCAGTTCCAACCCCACTGGCACGCGCAGGGACTCCTTCCACTAGACCAGGCTGCTCAAAGCACCATCCAGCCTGGCCTTGAACACTTCCAGGAACAGGGCAGCCTCCACTTCTCTGGCCAACCTATGCCAGTGTCTCACCACCCTCACAGTGAAGAACTTCTTCCTTGTATTTAACCTAAATCTACCCTCTTCTAGCTTAAAACCATTCCCTCATGAAACTTGCCCTCATGAAAGTTCTTCTCCACCTTCCCTGTAGGTCCCCCTTTAGCTTAATGAAAATACTGATGCATGTCCCAAATACCCAAAATGCAAGCCATAAAGACTAAGAGGTAAAATTCCATCAAAACACATTGTCGTGGTTGAAGCCCAGCCAGCAACTCAGAACCATGCAGCCACTCTCTCAGTCCCCCTCTGGCTCCCGGAGGGATGGGAAGGAGAATCAAAAGAATGTAAATCGCACGAGCTGAGATAAGAACAGTCTAGTAACTAAGGTATAATGCTAAACTATTACTGCTACCACCAATAATAATGATAAGGGAAATAACAAGGGGCGAGAATACAATTGCTCACCACCTGCCAATCAATACCCAGACAAACCTGAGCAGCAATCTGGGCCTTCTGGGTAATTCCCCCCAGTTTATATACTGGCATGACGTGCTGTGGTATGGAATATCCTTTTGGCTAGTTTGCATCAGGTGTCCTGTCTTTGCTCCCTCCCAAATTCCTGTGCCCCTCCTCACTGGCAGGGCATGAGACTGAAAAGTCCTTGATCAGAGCAAACATTACTTAGCAACAACTAAAAACGTCAGTGTTATCAGCATTGTTCCCAGGCTGAAAGTCAAAAACACAGCCCTGCACCAGCCACCAAGAAGAAAAAAATGCATGCTACAGCTGAACCCAGGACACACATCAACAACATAATCTGAAATTCACCAAGCTTCAATTATGATGAAAGGTCCAAAGAACTAAAATCCAAAATCAGAGATCAAAAACTAACCACAGAGAATTACAATCCAGAAACTGACACTTCATGTCATGTTGGTGGGTAGGAAAAAAAGTGATTTCCTAAAGACTACTTCCCACAAAATATTACATAATAGAATTAAAATAGTTTGGATTGGAAGGGACCTTAAAAATCATTCAGTTAAAATCCCCCTGCCATGGCATAGACACTTTCCACTAGACCAGATTGCTCCAAGCTCCAGCCAACCTGGCCTTGAAATTTTCCAAGAAGGGAGCATTCACAACTTCTCTGGGAAACCTGTTCCAGTGTCCCACCACCCTACAGTAAAGAACTTTTTCCTTATGTCTAATATTCTACTTACATTGAGAAAATTGATAGGCAGTTATTGTCACAGTTTGTATTCTAGTCATAATGTTTTTCCTTTTCTAGTGTGTAGCTTTCACATAAATGGGCAGCTTTGCAAGAAAACAGTTTCTCTTACCAAGCATTTCTTTCTTCCCCAGCTGCTCCGACCAGTAGCTGCTTAAAACAGCATGGGCAGATCCTTAAAAGAAATTGGAAAATAAAGTACAGAATTAAATTGGAATCACTACTTTATAGAACAAGCACATTCAAAATCTAAACACCATTAACAAATCAAGTGCCACATGTGTGTTTAGGACAAAACATCTGAGAGTCTGCACAGCAAACAGAACTGCTTTATCATTTAATTTATTTATGATAAAGCAGTACTACTTCCTTATCCTCTGGCTTCAACGGAGATTTTGCCTAGGTGAGGGATTCAAATACACAAATAGTACCAATTACAATACTTGATCCAAAGTACTCATTTGTTTACCAAAAGTGAAGTTTGCTAATAAAAGAGTCCCAAAATATTAAATTTGAAATATTTCATATAAACATGATGCTGTTCAATGAAACAGAAACAGCTCTCCATCAAAAATGTGAATAGACTTTTGGATACTTTTTAAAAATAGAACAGGTGAATAGAAGTCATTGTGTAAAACAAAAGTAATTCCTCTTCTAACAGTTTTCACAAGAAAACCTCAGAGGTTTTTCTTCAGTCTTGAACGATGGTAAGAATCAGGATGTAACTAGGAAAAAATGTAAAGGCTCACCACAGCTTCTGAAAACTAAAAGACCAATTTTTTAATTCCTGACCAGCAGATGGCTTAAAAACTTAAGATGACTTCCCAGATTATAGCTAGAAATGCTGCTTCAGTCTGCCTTAGCAGCTAGGAGTAAAGACACTGTGCTGGAAACCCTACTGTGAAGTAACTATCAAGGCTTAAAGACACCAGGACACGTAGTACAAAAAGAAGTATCATACAAAGCCATACCACTATTAAAAGTATACTTCAGCAATACAATAAAAAGTTTGGTTTCCATAAAAGAAAGGACACTTAAAGCTGGGAGACAAGAAACAGCAAGCCAAGAAGAATCTCAGAGATTCCAGAAACTTTTAGCTTTTCCTACATATCATAGAATCGTAGAATAGTTAGGGTTGGAAAGCAACTTAAGATCATTCCAACCCACCTGCCAAAAGCAGGGAAAATATCAATAATAGTCTTCCCAGAAATCCTTAGGAATGAGCTCTGGGATTACACACATCTACCAGACTCTGTCCCCAGCTTTACCAAGAATGCAGGACTGAGAATAAGAAATAACTGAAATTCATAGCTTTTATTTATTTGCAAACCTTTATTTCTGCTAGGAGTATTGAATAATTAACATTATTCCAACGAAGAAATTTTCTCTTTATTTAGCAAAACGTTTAATGAACATTTTTGCCCAAGTTCTCAGCTGAATCATAGAATCATAGAATAGTTACGGTTGGAAAGGACCTCAAGATCATCTAGTTCCAGCCCCCCTGCCATGGGCAGGGACACCTCACACTAAACCATATCACCCAAGGCTTCGTCCAACCTGGCCTTGAACACTGCCAGGGATGGAGCATTCACAACTTCCGTGAGCAACGCATTCCAGTGCCTCACCACCCTAAGAGGAAAGAATTTCTTCCTTATATCCAATCTAAACTTCCCCTGCTTAAGTTTTAACCTGTTATGCCTTGTCCTATCACTGCAGCCCCTAATGAATAGTCTATCCCCAGCATTCCTATAGCCCCTTTCAGATACTGGAAGGCTGCTATGAGGTCTCCATGCAGCCTTCTCTTCTCCAGGCTGAACAGCCCCAACTTTCTCAGCCTATCTTCATACAGGAGGTGCTCCAGCCCCCTGATCAGCCTCGTGGCCCTCCTCTGGACTTGTTCCAACAGGTCCGTGTCTTTTTTATGTTGAGAACACCAGAACTGCACACAATACTCCAAGTGAGGTCTCACAAGAGCAGAGTAGAGGGGCAGGATCACCTCCTTCGACCTGTTGCTCACACTCCTTTTGATGCAGCCCAGGATACAGTTGCCTTTCTGGGCTGTGAGCGCGCACTGAAGCCAGCTCATGTTCATTTTCTCATCAACCAACACCCCCAAGTCCTTCTCCACAGGGCTGCTCTGAATCTCTTCTCTGCCCAGCCCATAGCTGTGCCTGGGATTGCTCTGACCCAAGAATAATAATTAACCTGTGATTAACTGCTACCTAAGCAAATAACATCATTCTGTAACAACCATCATCACACCTATAGAGTGGGTATTGAGTGGAATAAGGAGAGAACAAGTCTTCCTGTCGCCAAATACACAACTGGCTGAGTTATTACTATTCATAGGCATGAATATCCCTAGTAAGTGTCAAGAAACCAGAGGACAGCTCAGCTGAAGTACAAAAATAAATACAGACACCAACAGAAGCAGGTACGAACTTCTATCGCTATACTCATCCAATACTAAACTAGCCTTTCACTTTAATTGGAATAGGTCAGGGAAAAGACCTGAAGAAAGATACAGGAATATCTGGCCTGATGGTAATAAGAAGCTGATTTTTTCTGCAAGAGTTGGCATCAATCCTGAAAGTTTTCAGTTTAATGAGCACACTCCTGCTATCCATATAAAACAGCCATTTATAAGTGAGACTCCAAAGTACAAAACGAGATTAATAAAGTTTAATAAGAAACTTTTAATTGAACTGAAACAAGAATAAGAGTTGCTTATCACCCAAACACATACCTGTAACAGGGTCTTCCAAAATTCCATACCAAGGTGCAAAATATCTGGAGTAAAAATCATGACCTTTATGTTTTCCACTGGAATTTCCCTTAAGAGTGAGTATGAGTCCTTTCACCTTTCCCGTCTTTTCAGCTGACAAAAAGTGTTGTGCGCTCACTTGTAGTTCTTCCAACACAGACCTTGAATATAATCGTAGAATTTTATTAGCCCATATTCTTCACTTTACATGAATTTAAGTATTGAAAAGGAACTACAAAGTCATCCTCTCTACAATCCCTAAACAACCACAGTAAAATGTTAGAAGAACAAGACTGCTACTGTTGCCCTCCCAATGCAGTTTGACAGAAGACCACCCTGGATATAACATGCTCTGAGTGGGCACAGAAAGAGGTTCAAGCCACACATTTCCTATTTATTTCTAAAAACAGAGCATGCTGGAATATTAGCTACAGAAGGGCACACTTTGTTTCAATGTTTAACAATTGAAAGGAATATTTCATCACTACAGAACGCAAACAGTAAGCATTCTAACTCCTTTCAGAGAAAGCAAATAACTAACACCATTCAGATCTTCATGGAATTCTAAAGCACTCTACAACAGTCTCAAGTCTGTGAAGTTGCAGACTGTTCACAAGAAAATGAAGTTTGATAGAGTAATAATAAAAGTACTTAGCTGAGGATATTTCTATCCCCCAGCTAGTCAAATCTCTAAACATTAGTTAGGCCAAACTTCAAGTGAAAATGAAAACTTGGCCTGACTAATGAGGTTGTGTTTTGGCAACATATATTCAAATGATACTTAACAATGAAAATTCAGATCTCTGAAATTAACAAATGCTTTGGAATCTGAACTGGAATCTGAATTAGAATAAATAGCTATAAAGCTACTTATGATGCTGTTAAATCCATGTAAGCAGATTACAGTCAAATATGAGTAAGAATCTGTGGCACTCTGTCTCGCAAAGCAGACCTCTAAGCTATGCAACTATTGCTTCTTGATATGAGAAGCAAGACTCCTAATTTGCTGCTACGTTACTGGATCATTTTTTTTACTCAGATAGATGGGGAAAATATACCATTGTTAAAACTGTTTCCTACACCTCTGCAGGTTCAATAAGCTCACATTAGAAGATAACTATTCAACACAGAAGTTTAAATAAGAGGTTTTAATCTTCACCTGTTTTAAAACTAGATAAACCAGCCTAGTGTGTAAGGAATGGAGGCTAAGCAAGCAGACTCAGTTTCTGTACACTTAATTAAAAAAAAAAAAAAAAAAAAAGGATAAGACACCTTTCATAAGCATCACTGAGGCGGACTAAGAGTTTCTTTGTGTCAGGAGAGTAACGAAGATCTTGAACAATCATGTCACCAACGGCTGCCTGGTGTAAAAATTAAAGGAGACCAAGAAAAGTTCATAATTTGAATATAAAATACTATTTTCTCAACATTTTCATAGAACACACTCCCTGCCAGAACAGGGCTTATGAAAGGCCCCTCATGCATCCATAAAGTACATGCAAGCAAGAAAAAAAAATACACAAAGTGCATGAATGGATATGGGTAGGTGCTAAGATCTCTGTGCATGTCAACTCAGAAAGAAATTCAGGGATCCAGAAGAGCGGAAGGACACTAGATTGCCCTCACATGCATACAATAGGCTGAAAATGCCACAGAGAAATACTGACACTCTAAAAAATGGCAGTTGGAAACAAATGTTCAACTCCAACATTTTTGAGAATTCCATTTCCCAGGTTGAATGACTCAGACCTTCAAAGCTTAGTGTTTCAAGAGTACATTAAGCAATGCCATCTCAACACTTTTCAACCATTTTAACATATAAGTATAGCTATTATAAATGTGTTTCTAAAACATATATTCTTTTTTACCTTTATTAACTCTTCTACTTCCTGAAGTTCCTGAATATAAAACAAAAAAAATCCACTGTAAAAAGTAGAACATATATATGTATCTATTCAACTACAGACAGATACACTTACATACACATGCAAACATAAACATATTATTTCCTTGAAATCATTTAATGAATAAAACTTTGACTGACCTGTGGGTAGGTTAAGTAAAGTGGTAAGTCCAGGACAATATGGTCTTCCACTTGTCGGGCTCTTAATTCCCCACTCAGCGTCACAAATGTGAGAACTGAATTTTTGTTTTCTAGAAAGAAAAAACATTGCAACATTATTGAACGTAAGAATTGGAATCTATATTATAGTTCTTAAAGTAGCTCAGTACAGTCAGAAGAAGTTAAGTTATGAGGCTAAAATACAGTAACTACAATAAACTTACAGTAAAAAACTATAGAAAAAATTCCCAACTAAATAAATAAACTGCTAAGGCTAATAAAAGCAGCAACTGAAGGGAATCTCTTCTCTGTGTTTCGAGAATGAATGGAAATTTCCTTTAAACAGAAAGAGCAATATTCCATATTCATCAAATTCTACTGTAACTCTCTCAGATGACATCTGCATATTTAGTACTTTTCTTAAACAACAATAATAGCAGGGCATCCCAATACGAGGCATCAGACTACAACCTTGTAATTACAGAGCAGTTCCAAAAGACAATACCTACAGGTATCTCCATGTGTGCTCTCTAAATGTTCTAAATATTTAATTGCCTTTGTTGTAGAAAAAAAAATTTTAATCGTATTTTCTAAAAAGCTATAGTAATAAATATCTTGTAATCGTACTTTGTATGTGAACCAACACAGCAGCTGCTGCAAGTGTAGCATGACCACAGAGAGGAACTTCATTGGCTGGGGTGAACCATCTGAGTCCAAAGCAGGAACCTTGAAAATAAAATTTAGGGTTATTAAGTTGAATAAGTCTCAAAACTTTATGTAGAATGATGACATTTCAGTTAATCAGAATGCATGTTACAATCTGTCTTGGTCTTAAACACACTTCAATAATTTAGGAATTACACTTTTAGGAACCTATTTTGTACTGACTTTTGAAACAGCTATTGCTTTTCAGTCAGGTCAACAACAGGAGACTACTACTAATAGAGGAAAACTACTTGGTTACAAAAGCAAAGGAGCTGCAGAGCAGAAATGACTGTCTGCTGGAGAACTAAACCTGTGAATCAGAGGCATTTTCTTGAGAAGCGCAGCTGGCACCCTTGAAGCGCTGCTGAGTACCTAGAACTGGAGACATACGGAGATATTGTAGGCTAGCGCACAACAAACTATAACAGCAACTTATCACCTGCAAAGGTAAAAAATAATCTGGAAAAAGGGAAAAGCATTCTGAGAAAGTAAAATAGGTAACTGCCACTGGATGTTCTAACTGAAAGAACAGAACAACCTGGAAAAATAAAAACTGGTCTGAGAGAAAACATCGTCATCTACTGGCTGTTCCAGGTAAAAAACAGGAATTTACAGCACTTACTGGCTTCTTGAAGTGGTGGTGTCCTATGCTCTCTTATGTCTCTATGATAAAAAATCTAATTCTTACCCAAAATGGAACTTCTCTCTCTGACAACTTTCCGTGCTGCATATATCCTTTAGGGGTTAGAGAGTTTTACTGGTATAACTGAAATTTTATCAGAGCTAGATGAGTTATGAATTATTTTGCTTAAACCACCAGTCCAGTCTGGTAAAAGCCTCTAATGTATACTAACTCTTCATTTCATTAGAAATCGTATTTCTATTTGTTGTTTAAAAAAACTTGGAACCCAAGTGCACTATAGTTGACTTCCTGTAGCTTTTGCAGACTTACACCAAAGCATTTAAGATAATGAAATGATGAAAATATATTTCAAGTGAATAATTACCAAACACAATTAAAAGACACAAGAGAAACAAATGATATCTAAAAAGAAACCCCAAACAAGTCTTGTCATCACTCCTGCAAAAAAACAGTGCATTAAAATCAGTCCCCTCTCCAATGAAAACAAATAGAATCCCAACAAAACCTAGTGGATGAAACTAACAAGCGTGGCAGAGAACCACAGAACCACAGAACCCAAAAGCCTGCCCTAGTGTTAATTCACACCGCCAAGTGGAAATTGTGGCTGAAAGCAGGAGGAAATGGAGTCAGCCATGCCCAACCAGAGACAGACAAGCTGTGGAGGAAATGGAGTCAGCCATGCCCAACCAGAGACAGACAAGCTGTGCGATCCAGAACACTTACCTGAATGGTGAGATATACAGTCATACACAGACTAAGAAGACATTTTGTACTCTCATAATATAACCCTAAAATAATGTAGATATTTTTAAATTAAAATTCAATTAAATGCACTGATCACAAACTCATACTCCTGGCAAAAACACACTTTGTCCAGGAACTCTTCAGACATCAATTACATTAGAGAGGATGAGAGTCTCACAAATGACATTCTGATGTGTCTGGTCTACTCTTGCTCCTACCACCCCTCAAAATACACATTCTCAGGTGTAGCTCAGTTGCCATATTTTTTTTGAAAAAATTGTGCTACTCTTTAGCAGTTGCATGGGTCTGACGTCATAAATTCTAGTCCCATTAACATCAAAAGCACTTTGATAAAATAAATAAATGTCTTAAATGTATCGGCAAGGTGTTAACACGAAAAAATGTTAATATGAAAAATGAAAAGTGTTATTACTTCTTGATTCAAGCAATTAGTCTAACCCTAAAATAAATTCCAATTTATTAACAATAGGAGTAAATGAGGATAGTTACAACTTTAAGAAAATCTTCTTTAATAACAGAGAATGTACAAAATCCCACTCTCTGAACAATCAAACAATAAAGAACAGTTTCTTTGCATACTGTTCTAAGGCCTCTTTCATATAGCCAGTAACTCCAAAGCTGTTCATACCTCTCTTCCACTATGTTGTATCAAAGCAAGGGCATGCCAACACAAATACTTTAACCTAGAATCAAACTCCAGGCTAGTGACTTCCAGCCCCTTGGCTCTTGCTACCACGCAACTGCAAAGTGAGAAGATTCCGAACTGATTCAGCTGAAAACTAATCCACAAAGGTATTTAGAACGGATTCTGTATTTGTCTGTTTTCTATCTTGTCTAGTGTCCCTCCATTTCATCGCCCATAATATATGTGTATATATATATATATACACACACATGCCCTCACAAAGAACACCAGTGAAGTCTCTCAAACCAATCAGAAGAGTAGCCTAACGTGCTTCCTTTGGGCAACTTTTGATTTCTCACTTTTGTTGGAAATCTGTCTCTTTCGGTACTGGCTCCACAGATCACTTACAAGATTTAGTGACAAACTCAGATAATAGCTTATGGTTACCCCAGTGATGACTCCTGAACAGCTAAGCCAGATTATACTCACTTTGCAGTCTTCTGCATGTGGAATAAACAAGTTCCATCTCTATTCTTCTGAAGAAATTCTTTTAGGAAACTGTTAATACTAAGGGAACTACTAATTGAAAGATCTTTGCATAGCATTTTCAGGAGATTTTCTATACGCAACTTGCTTATTTAGTAAAAGACACTAAGACAAATGGTTTAATTTCTGAATAATGTCTGTAAATTGTAAAATGAATTTCAAGTAGAGCACAAACACTTTAAAGAATCCATGTGCAAAAGGCTTATTATATTCTTAAGAAGATACATCACAACTCCAAGATTTTGCTTTGGCTGTATTAAAAGTCACCACCATTCCTTATGAATGCACCTAGTGTTTCCTATTCCCTTGTGAGAGATTGTGTTGGGTAAACAGAACCACGCACTTTTGGTAAAGTCATCTCCAGGGTGCAGTTTTCTGATGAAAGCAGTTTCTGAAAGGTTCATTTCCATTGCAATTTTTTGGTGCGAATCTTCATCCAAGTCCTAATAATAAACAATAAATCCAATTAAAAGCAGGCCAAAAAATGCAGAATCAAACTTTCTGTCAAATAAACCAGTAATTTCATTTTCTATTATAATAAAAGATTCATTTTTAGCTCAAAATACTGAGAATAAAACAAAAATAAAACAAACAAAAAAAAAACCAAACTAAGCATAAAATTGAACTAGTTCAATCATTGTGCTAAATAGGCATTTCTAATATCTGTCTTTTTAGTTTACAAATTCTTGGAATACATGGAAAATAAAATCACCAAAAAACCTAAACTCAGTCTTTCCATGAACATGATACTTTTTTTGTTTAGTTATAAGTCACACTGAGAAGACATTATTATCATAATCTAAAAATAACTACAACTCTCTTCTTGTAACACTGAACAATGCATGCCAGCAAGAGGTATGTATCAATTGCTGCGGCAATGACCAAGGTGGCTGATCAGCGCTTATGGCCTCGATACTCTTCTTTAGACAATGGGAACAATACACTAAGTCAGAAGAAGCTGAGGGGAGATAAACTGGAAAAAAAAAAAAAAAAAAAAAAAAGCTGGAGCTCACTACATTCTGCTTTAACTGTCTGCAGCTTTAAATCCCAAGAAGGGTTCAAAAGTGAACATTGATCCCAGGACACATGAGTTGCAGTGCCTGTATAAAATTCTACTTCGCCCTTTCTCCACTGCTTTTTCCCCACAGTTATGGTGACTAAGAATCTGGGCTACAAATACAGAAACACAAATGAAATAAAGTACTGTGTGGACTTGGTTAGGTTCAACCTCTAAGAGATAAGTAAAGTTAGCAGAGCAAATTTTTATTTCCCTTAATAATGTTAATACTTTTCAGCCAAAGATCCCATATTACAGAAATGACACAAATTCTAATGCATACCATAGACCTGTATATGCAGAGCGAATTCTATGCCGTGAAAAAATATTGTTTTTATAGTAACAAGCGCCTCTCCTTTATTCCAGAACAACAGTTCTGTCAGTTATTCTAAAGACACTAAACCAGAACAAAGACCAACCAAAATGTTATTAAAAATAATAGAAGTTTACTGAACTGCTGCCATCCTGTGGCATTTCTGAAACACAGAAAGGGCTCGTTTTGCCATCCTTGCATTACTCCCAAGGGATTTTGTAAAACATCTTTACAAATGATGTTTTGTAAAACACCATTACTCCCAAGGGATTTTGTAAGACTCTGAATGGAACAGAAATACTGCCACTAGCTACACCTTGCTTTTTCGGAGCTTAGAACAAAATTATGAATGAGAACATCAGCTTCAACTATGACACTAAAGCCTGTAGGCACAGGTACTGAAGAAAAAAAAAAATGAAAATCTCCACGTTCCAAAGGCAACATGCAAGTAACTTGCCCCCACAATATATTAATGTAATAAAGTAAAATTATTATGAAAATACAAATAGAACTCATCATTTCAAAGTAAGTTCATTCTGAGAGGAAATATTTAGATTTCAGGAAGCCAAAAATACCTCTGAAGTGACATGTTCTCAGTCATAACTTCAGCTGATCTGATAAGTAGGCTATATTGTACAAGATCTAGGCTTAGAAACATCTAGAAAGGATTGTCAGCTCACGCTACCGCCACTGACTGCTCTAGATACATTTTCTTACCGTTTTCATGAACTGTTACTGTACGAATAATATAAAACCTATTTGGTAGAAATTGTCAACACTGTACCAGTTAGAACCAACTTGTTCAGAACACTTTGTGGAGGAAGAAGTCTACTGGCAATTGCACCAAAACCACCACCAAATTCGAAGCAATAAAACTGACTGTGGAAACCTGGTTAAAGCTGAACTTGACATACTAATGGTACGAGACTCAGATCCAGGTCTATACTCCCCTTCTTTCTTTCCAAAAAAAGGAAAAAAACCGGGGGGGGGGAACTCATAACCAACTACAAAACCCCCACATCAAAATCACAAAATCAAACCCCACACTCAAGAGTTAACAGTTCAAAAACTATAGAGTGATTTAATACATTTCTTTTCAGAGATTTCATTCTTAATTCAGATAGAATAAAACCAGTATGTGCCCTAATAAAAATAATCTCTAAAACCCCACAAAAAAATACAAAGCATGTCTTGTATGAAATCGTTCTGGTGGGAAAAGTCACCCCTGTGCTAATATCTCTGTATTCTGGAGCAAGAGCAAACGCTTTCAAGCGGATCTCCTAAGAAACCAAAACCTAATGTAGTGTTAAGTGCTTATGTCAAGTACACAATGGTAAATACCAGTATAGTTACTCTAAAGTAACTGGGTTTTTTTTAACTTACATTTTCAAGCAGACAAACTGCAGCAGGATTTCCAAAAAACGGCCGGTTTGTAAAAGCATCAACCGTAAAAACAGGAATTAGCATTGTCGTTTGCGCCTATTTAAACTGTTTTCTGCAAAGCGCTTCCTGAACTTTTAGCCCCAGCTGATAGCAGAATTCCAAGTTAATGTTTCCCTAACGCCAGGAAAAGCCAGGGGCCCCCATCTCCTCACTTCCGAGCGCATCCAAGAACACAAGCCTCCTTCCCCACCCCAAGAGCTCAGCGCCAATTTTTAATCCTTTAGAAAAGCTTTTAATCTCTTCTTTTGTATCGACTTCTGCCAAGTTCCAAAACACTCCCACCAGAGAGTCCTCCCCAGCGGCATTTATGAGAGGCTCCCCCTGGGCCTGGCCTGCCGCAGGTTCACCTCCGCTGCGGGAACCCGCCTGCCCTCCCAGATCCACGCCGGGTAAGCCGGCCACCCTGCGCGACACACTCGAGGGGACGGCCACCCAACCGCCGTCCGTGTGAGGCGATCTCTGGGCGGCCATTACGGGCACGCGCCGCAGCCACTTTCTGCTAGACCGCACGCCCCCCCAGCCGTGAGCTCGCTTGGCGCCAAGGCGAACAGAAAGCCGGCGCGATTGCGAGCCTAGCGCGCATGCACCACAGCGCCCTTCAGCAGTAGCCGTGACAGAAATAGGCGGGAACTCACTGGCCGCCGCGCGCGTGCGCCATTGCTTCTCTGCGGAGGCGCGCATGTGCGTAGTGCGCCTAACCGTGGCTAAGGAGCGTGGCGTGGCTATCGCGATATTTGCGTAGTCGGGACGCTGCTCAGCCCGCGTCCCTTGCGTAGATTTTGAGCCTGCTGGCTCGTTAGCAGCGAGGAGTTTCTTTCCCGACAGAAGCTCCTGCCGGAGCACGTCGAGGCGTGCGCGAAGGTCTCCGGTGAGTGGGGAGGGGGAATGGGCATGATGTGCCCTAGCTGGACAGGCCGGGCGGCGATAGCAGTAGGGGCTCGGGCTCTGAGGCGAGCTGGTCTTCCTGTTTCTCTGTGCGGCGTCGGGGCCGGCGCCCGCCTGAGGGAGCCGTGGGTGGTGGCGGACCTGGTGAGGGCGTGGGGGAGGGGGCGGTGCGGCGCCTCTCCGCGGAGCCTCGTTCCTGAGCGCGGCCGCCATTTTGAGTTGTGGAGTCGAGGGTGCCGGCGGCCTTGGGAGAGCGGCGGGTGGCGGTGAAGAACTCCTGTGAGGCCTGAGGTTGAACAGGAGGAGGCCGAGCAGCTCCTCCGAGGCGGAGAGGTGGTAGCGGTGCGCGGTGGGGAGCTGGGCTGGAGTGGGGGGGTTAGGAGGGGCGGTACCGAGGAGGCGCGGTAAATGGCGCCGAGAAATGATCGGTGGGTCAGGGCCGCGATTTCGGCGGTGGTCGGTGCCGCGGGTCGGATGGACTGTGGCGCGGAGGGCAAGTGTGCGGTGGTGTGTCTATCAGCGCACAACGAGGGTAGCCATTGAGGTTTTTGGGCTGTTGAGGCTCGACTGCCGCGTTGCCCATTATGGAGCGCTCACGGGAGCGCTTCCCGCCGCCTGTCCGTTCCTTCCACCCCCTCCCAGCACAGCCCCGGGCGCAGGGCGGTGCGAGGCAGCCGAGGCGACGGCGCGGGTCCGACTTCCTCCTCCCGCCGGGGTCTCGGTGCGCCAAACAGTCCGCTGCCCCTCAAGGTGATTCTGCGGGTCCCGGGCAGTGTAACTCGAGTTAACGCATCGCCGGTGCTTCCGGTAGGGAAGACTAAAAAAAAAAAAAAAAAAAAAAACCCAAACAAACCAACAAAACCGAAAACCCCCACAACTGGGCGCTTTGTTTGCAGACAAAGGATGCTCTTGTGTTTCCACGCAGGAACCGTTGCGTGGTTCCTACCCATTCTTCAAATGACATGCTTTAAAAGAAATTAAATAATAAAAAACGCTGAACACAAAACCTTAAAGGCCGGACGTTGAATGGACTCTTGAGTAAATAATAAGCTTTATGTGCTGTACCTCCCCACGTGCTTCCCTCCTTAACACACTGGTGTTCCCTGTCAAGAGTATGGGGTAGATTTAGGTGTGTATCTGCTGTAGATGTGGTAGTTTTAAATTTGTAATAGAAATAGAACTTATTATCCACAATACTAGATATCCAAAGACAAACTATCCTTTTTTTTAATGTTTCGACATTTTTCTTTACTTCTTTTTCTTTTTTGAAAGGTTTGCTTTAATTAAAAGATGGACTGGAGTGGAAAACATAATGGGCCAAATGATACAACTAATGATGGAACAGTGGTACGACTTCGAGGCCTGCCATTTGGTTGCAGCAAAGAAGAGATTGTTCAGTTTTTCCAAGGTACCTCTAGTATAGTCGAAGTCTAGTGGCTGGATTTTCTTCTTTTACACGATGTGTTGTACATTTTAATTTGTTATAGCCATTAATGGGGTGGCTTGGGAGGGATTGTGTTCAATTAGTTTATCTTAAATAAGAATTGTGCCCTGTAAATGAAGTAGAAGTAACAGTAGATGTAGTAAAATACGCAGTATATTTCGAACTTTGTCAAGGTGGTAAACACATTATGCATAATGGGGTAACTGAATGTTAGCTGATGATCCAAGTGGATCAGTTAAATTGTGTGACTGATAGTTATATTTTCTTCGTGTAACTTAGGTGGTTGTATTTTTGCATAGCTTAAACAGAAAAGAAGTATGGCTAAATCCATAAATGTTTAATCAAAGATGACTGGCTTGTATTGTTGGGTGATGGGGGAAATGAGGTGGTTTTCTTTTTCGTTCTTGTTGTTTAGATATGATTTAAGTATTTGCTACAGATGGGAATGTTTCAGCCTTTAACACTGTTCCCCTTGATGGGGTTATTTGTCCTTGGGTTAAAGGGTTGGAAATCGTGCCAAATGGGATAACATTGACGCTGGACTACCAGGGGAGAAGCACAGGGGAGGCCTTCGTGCAGTTTGCTTCAAAGGAGATAGCAGAAAATGCTCTGGGGAAACACAAGGAAAGAATAGGGCACAGGTGGGGATGGAGAGTTTGGGATGGTGTTACATCTTTATTTTTGGGGGTTGTGGGTCAGTAATGCTTTTGGGTGGGTGGGGACCATTACATGGAACTGGCTGTTTTTAAGAATTTATGTAACTGATCCTAAGTTAACTTGGGAAATACAATAGACTTGGGGGGTGGGGGAGACAGTATTGCCTGGGTAGCTTGCTAAACTCAGAAAATTGTATCAGTCATTCTTGTGTAGGGTAATTTGTGATTAATGCTACTGTAGCTTAGACACTGTTTTTCAGCAGTATGTTTCTCATACTGGAAAGACATGTTTTATGCTTAATTTGTACAGCTAGAATTTTCACATAGTAATTTTTGCCACTGTAAAGTGTTTTGGGGTTTTTTATACACTTAAGATTCTTACGGTTTTGAGGAGAAACTTAAGTTGTATGGTATCTAGTCACTTTTATTGGATTGTGTATCTAGTTATAGAAAACATAGTATGGCCTTTTTTAATATTCAGACAGCTTTTGCATGTATGCTTATTGGTGTCTTGAAAATCCTCTTTTATTAGATATATTGAAATCTTCAAAAGTAGTAAGAGCGAAATCAGAGGATTCAGTGACATGCCAAGAAGAATGATGGGACAACAACGGCCTGGACCATATGATAGACCATTAGGAGGAAGAGGGGGTTATTATGGAGCTGGGCGTGGAAGTATGTATGACAGAATGCGTCGAGGAGGTGGTGGATATGACGGTGGTATGTTTATCTAATGAATGGAGGTTCTGTTGTCAGTCTTGTGTTTCTGACATCTTTGTCGAGAAGTAAAGAAATGGCAGTAGCAGCAGTTCCCATTAGGTTTGATGCACTTCCCAAGAAATTTTTTACTTGTGATGTATCAAGAAATGTGACTTAGTATTTAAAATTAATGGAAATAATAAGGAAACTCTGCTTTCAGCAAACTTGCATGTTTCAGTCCTTTTACTATGTAAAAGGAAACATACATTGCACTCTGTACAGGAATTCAGGTTTAACAGTCTTAGGGGCTCCTTGCAAACCGCTGGGTGTCCAAAGACTGAAAAGTTGACTCTTGTGCATTGCTCTGTGAGTTTTGAGTATTCATGTAATGATTTCTTTCTTTCTGTCCTCTGCCCAGGATATGGTGGCTTTGATGATTATGGTGGCTATAATAACTATGGCTATGGAAACGATGGCTATGATGACAGAATGAGGGATGGGAGAGGTAAAATAATTTTTTTTTAACTAATTTGCTTAAAATATGTTATTTGAGTTGTAGGACATCCAAGTCAGAAACTTCATGAGATTATTTGGTACAGAAATAAGGTTGCTCAAAAGGGGGGGAAGGGGTAGAATTGGGGCATCTGAGGAAAAGGTAAATACATTGCTTAGGGTGTCTTCTGGTTAAGTATTTGGGTTGATAGATGGGAAGCGTAAACAACTTGCATTCAGTGGTATAACATGTGCTTTCAGAAAACCAGTAGTAATGACTTCCCTGGCTTTTCAGGATGATCTTATAAGTGTGTGGTCTTGTTTGGTTTGGCTTTTTTAATAGGCATGGGGGGACATGGCTATGGTGGAGCTGGAGAAGCAGGCTCAGGTTTCCACGGTGGCGGTCACTTTGTTCACATGAGAGGACTGCCTTTTCGAGCAACAGAAAATGATATTGCTAATGTAAGTACAATGGGAAAAAAGGGCTTTTTAATGCCAAGAGTTTGCATGTTCCTGTCTGTCTTACTAGAAACTTGGTTGAAGTTCCCAAACAAGTGATTGATAGTTCTAATAGGTCTGCAGACTCTCTCGTAAGAGAGCAGGGTGGTGGATAAAAGCACCTCAAGATTTTGGGCATACGTTCTTTGTCAGAATAGATGTGCTGTTTCTAGGGGGAAAAGTTTTCTTGAGATAAAAGGCCCCAGGGCCTGGTTTAAACAGAGCCTCTTTCCAGTGTGGGGCTCCGTCTTTTATTAGTTGCACCTATATATTATATATGGAAATCTTGATTCTTGTTACTTGGGGGGCGGGGGGGGTGGTTAGGGCATGTGTGAGCTACATTCTTTTCAGTCAGTTTGATAATTTTCGTTAAGACTCAAGAGAACAAGGGCTAAACTTGAGGCTTTGAATCAGAGCATGTTATTGCAAGTTGATGAGTACTACTTCTGTATCAAA